GCCACGTAAGCAGTGCCACGTCAGCAGTGCCACGTCAGACACTGCCACGTAAGCAGTGCCACATCAGCAGTGCCACGTAAGCAGTGCCACGTCAGACACTGCCACGTAAGCAGTGCCACATCAGCAGTGCCATGTCAGACACAGTGCCACGTCAGCAGAGCCACGTCAGACACAGTGCCACGTCAGCAACATGACGGGCCTGCCAGACCAACTGGCCAATGATCCCATTGCCGACTACAAAAAGCGCTTCCAGGCTCAGCTCGCTGCAATCGAGGCTGAGGAACAACGCCAGCTGGCAGTCAAGGCTGCCCAGCTACAGGCTGAAGAAGCGGCAACAGCAGAGAAGCTGCGGCTACAGGCCGAAGCAGACGCAGATGCCCAGGCTCGCYGCAAGGAAGCCCAGGATCTGCTGCYGCGGCATGAAGCCAACAGCATCGAGAGACTCAAGTACTGGCATTTTGAACCGAACGGCGACGAGGCAACACCGGAAGAGCAGCACAAGGAGTTCATGGCCAAGCTCATGACCAGGTTGGTTTACACTTGTAACCACCTACAGTCCGAGCTGGCGAACCTTCATGCGGAACCATAAGATTCAGCACGAGGATGCCACACGGGCACTGGACGCCCGTGTACTGGACCTGACCAGGACTTCGAGAAATTTGATGACTACACACATCAAGACCCGGTCGTCTGGTGGGAAGGATTTACGACGGAGTTGGGGATTCACGAAGTCCCTGACCATTTGTTCATCAGTGCTCTATTCATCAACACCAAGGGAGGTTGTCAGATCTGGCTCAGCCACATGGCAACCATCCACGGCGTCCAGGTTTCAGACCTGTACAAGAAGGTCTCCTGGGAGGACATGACAAAGGAATGGAAGAAGCGGTTCATCGTCGACGATGCCCCAACACTCGCCATCAACCGTATCTTCACGATGGCTCAAGGGAGCACACCGACACGTGACTGGCTCACAGATTGGCAAAAGATCGTGGCAACACCCGATTTGGACTTGCCATTTCCGCATCTGCGACGTGTCATGCGCCGCTGTCAGCCTCGCACTTGGTGATCGCGAGCAGTACAGCACTTTCGCAGAGATCATCAACAAGGCAAGGGAGATCATAAAGACTAACAGGGCAGCTACACACAAGAAGTCAATGTGGCAGCCTACCTATGTGGAGAAGGTAAGAACTGGTCCGCGACAGCAGCAGTTCGCTGCAGTCCAGTCGGACAGTGGAGATAACCCAGCAGCCACTCCAGCATCAAGTGACAGAGATCAGGTGGCTGCTTTCCAGCCGCGAAGCAACAACAAGTCCTGCACCAATGGGAAGGCGAAATCCGCATCGCAGGCCGGGAATGGACAGCCAGTACAAGCTCCATGGGTCAAGTTCAGCTTGACCGAGGCGGAGTACAAGGTCCGCGGCCGCTACGGCAGCTGCTATTGGTGCAACAACACCAAGCACAAGACCTCCCTGTGCCAGGATTAGGGCAAGGAGGATGTGTGACCCCGCCTCAACTCGGGAAACTAAGTTCCGCGGAAGGTGAGGCGACTCCACCTTCTACTCCGCCAGATTCGGCCGCCTTGCTAGCGGCCTCCTGCACATCTGGGGAGGATGCGAATGTCGCAAGTCCTCGGTACACTTACGAGGATTATGCTGTCCACTTGGTTCCACCGCTGGACCAACCGCTCCACGTGCAACAATCCA